TTTGATGCTCTCCATGAGAAACTAGACCAAAGACAAGATCAACCATAAACCAGAAACAATGATACTTCTCGGAGGCAACAACCTCTTCCCGAAGATGATGTTCCAAATCCTTATGATGAAGAAGAACCAGCATTGATACAAGGACCTAGGCGTGCCAATGTTGATGATAAAACATCAAAATCAAAATTCCTCAATTTCAAGGGAAGACTGATCTAGAAGCCTATCTTGAATGGGAAAACAAGGTGGAACATGTGTTTAGTTGCCATAACTATTCCGAACTCAAGAAAGTAAGATTGGAAGCTATGGAGTTTGTTGATTATGCTTTGATATGGTGGGATCAACTTACTATTACCTGGAGGAGGAATGGAGAAAGACCAATTTCAACATGGCTCGAAATGAAAGGTATCATGCGTAAACGTTTCATTCCTACTCATTATCACCGAGACATGTTTCAGAAATTGCAGAATTTGAAGCAAGGCCAACGGAGTGTGGAGGATTATTATAAAGAAATGGAAGTGGCAATGATCCGAGTCAATATTGAGGAGGATCGTGAAGCAACCATTGGTAGATTTCTAGCTAGACTCAATCCTGAGATTGCCAACACACTAGAATTGTATCATTATATCGAACTTGATGAAATGGTGAAAATGGCTATGAAAATAGAAAGGCAACTACGGAGAAGACCTATCTCTCGTACTTCAGTGCCTACATCTTCAAGATGGAGTCCAAACAACAATTTGAGGAAGTCTACCCCTATTCCTACCAAAGAGAAGGTTGAATCATCAAATGCTTCCCATATTGGTAAGGAGAATCGAAGAAAAGAGATCCCTGAACAATCAAGAGACATCCGTTGCTTTAAATGTCTTGGGAGGGGACATAAATTAGTGCTCCGGTGGAAGGTGAAGCCTTAGTGGTTAAAAGAAGTCTGAATGCCCAAGAAGTAGAAGATGATGCACAACGGGAAAACATCTTTCATACTCGATGCCATGTGAATGAAAAGGTGTGTTTCATGATTATAGACAGTGGGAGTTGCACTAATGTTGCCAGTACCATCATGGTGGAGAAATTGGGATTGCAAACGTTGAAACATCCAAATCCCTACAAACTACAATGGCTCAATGAACGAGGTGAACTTAATGTCAACAAACAGGTGATGGTTCCTTTTTCAATTGGTAAGTACAAGGACGAGGTTATGTGCGATGTTGTTCCTATGCATGCTAGCCATTTACTCCTTGGAAGACCATGGCAATATGATAGGAGGACCATTCATGATTGTTTTACCAATCATTATTCATTCAACCATGGAGGAATGGAGATCATCCTAACACCCTTGATGCCTAAACAAGTCCAAGTCGAGCAAATCAAGATGAAACAAAGTGTTGAGGCCATGAGGAAAGGAAAATCGAAGTTAATCCAGGAAGAAAACATTCCAAAAACAAGTGCTTATACATCTAAGTGCTTGTTACAAAGATGTTTACTGACGAGGCGCAAGGTCAATGAAGATTTTTCTAACTTTGGCAATGCAGTAATTTCCTTTGATTTGCAGGATGATCCAAGTGACACAATCAATCAATTTGGGAAATTAAAGGACGTGACCTTTCAAGAGCCAAGAGGTGCGACTATTGAAGAGCAAAGAATGGTAACTCTTCATCCAAAGGACGTGATCCATCAAGAATCAAGAGTCATGCCTATTGAAATCCAAAGGGAAATGATTTTTCATCCAAAGGGCGTGACTTATGAGGACATCACCATTCCAAGAGTCACCACCTTTCATGAATCAATGCATCTATCTATGGAAAGGAGCATGATTTTTGGAATACAAAAGGGCACTAACGTTCAAAACCAAATGTCTTCAATAGACATGAACTTTGAACCTACATTTTTCAGGAAGTATTTCTTAACATTAAATTTGTTTGATCACATTCATACTAATGAAAGTTTTCTTTCTTTTCAGGTTAAGAACTTCCAAAGCAGTCTTTCAACGGATATGAACCTTTTTGTAAAGATTGAATGGAAGGACACTAGGAAAAGACGATCATTCGATTTGAGGACAAATCGATTAAAAGAAGGGGAGGATGATGTGATCTAATTCAACATCATATTTACCATGGCTATTCCAACCTCTCCAGGGAAGAAACTTTCTATCTTTATACCTATAGATACTTATTTCATATGTTATAAGATAGTTATTTTCATATATATATTATACCTATAGTTATTATGATAATAAGTTATCCATTTATATATGAGATACAAGTTATTATCATATACTATAGTCACATTTTTATAATATACAAGTTTATATACTTAGTTTATTTTCTTTTGTTACGCATGTAGGCACATTCGACCAACACTTGGGAGCTGCATTGAAGCTAAATGGAGCATGTAACAGCAAGGAAACTTACATGGGATCGATTAGGAGAACACAAAGAACAATTGGTGAAAAGCTTTCCGGAGGCCGTGAGCTCATAGCTAGATTGAGCTGAAGATTTGAGCTACAAGATGACCTTATTTTAGCTGGGGAGTTGCACCATCATCATCACCACTTAGGACACTTCAAATATGTCCTAAGTCAAAATTTGTGAAATCGTACCTTTTCGCGAATAGTTGCCACCTCGAGAGGTACCTTTCCACAAGGAGCTACCCAAACGTTCATCATGTTACAAGTCATCTAAGGCCAGCTCACCACCAGCTCATTCATACCATTAATAGCTCAAACATGAAGGGACACCATTATCAAACATTATGACCTTTCATGAATGATGCTGCCCATGAAGATGCCTTTTCATCTAGGAGCACGTTGGTGAAGAGTTTGCTAGCATTGGAGGCTTAAATCACCAAGAGACATGAGATAGAGCTCCATGCCTATTCGGCCACATCACATGCCATGCACATGAGAACATTTGGCGCTAACTTGAGGAGATATAAACCCATTCGGCTAAAGAGAAGAGAAATGGTGCCAAGATGAACCAGCATCACCATTCGGCCAAGGGAGATGTCTTCCCATCCTTACCCGAATCATCAAGTCCTTTTATGAAGGGTTAGCTGAACCATCACAAGCGCAAATGACTTGATCTTTCATTTTAAAACATTATGTATCTTCCAAAAGTCATGTATCTAGCCGAAACATCATGTAACCATTCGGCTAAGCCCACTCATTTCCTATAAATAGAGTGGCTTGCCTTCATTTGTAATCATCTCATCTCATATATTAAAAATTACTCTCGTGAGTTAATTTCTCTTCAAAGTTCTTTGTGAACTTTATCGATTAAGCAAGTATAATTTCCTATACTTGTGGCATCATTCCTTCCAAATTGATTTCTAAATTCCTAGATTAATATCTAGTGGGTTGAAGACACTATCACGACCCCTCAAGCAAGTTTGTGAAGATCGGTATTGTGCTCTTTAGCATTGTTTCATCTTTGGCGTGTTTGAGATACAAATCACTACCATTTCCATTTCATCAACAACACCATCATCAACATCCATCAAGACCATCAATTCCGCAGCCATCTCTTTCATTTCTTTCTATTTCATTTCCTTTATTATATATTCATTTCTTAAGACCATTATTAATATCATTTCTTTCTTATATTTATTGCAGCCAAGCTTATAATTCAAGGACATCAGTACTTGTCAATCCTAGATCGGGACACAATAAGGCTATCTACTCTTTTCATCAAAGTGTATAGATTCGCCTTACATCAATATGAATGCACATGAATGGTAATTATAATTAAATGAAAAACATGTTGTCATGTTGAATAAGAGTGCAAGACATGTTTAACAATGGGAATACACATGAGTTAATTAAAATAAAGGATAAATATGTTGTTTTGTTTAATATGAGTGCAAGACGTGCTACATGATGATATGTATTAGAATATGCTTAGATGAATGCAAAACATAAACAAAACGTGAACATCTTAAATTCTAAGATAAATGTAATGAGTAACATGAATGTATACTATGATGAATGTGATGCAAAGCTATCTTAATATGTTGAACATATTTAAACAACAATATGTATGATGGAATGATAAGTATGCTATCATTATATGAATACATGCTGATAAGTAATGCAAGACTATTCTAATATGCAAGAATATTCTAATATACAAGAATGAATACATGCTTAATATGTATGCAAACTAGTATGAGATAATAACATGCTTGAAATGAGTTGATGAACTAATTAAAAAAAAACATGTTGTAATGATATGCATAGCTATTTTAACATGACATCTAATGCATAAATAAGTAAATATAATATAAAGTAAGGAAGAACTCCCTTAGATTGATCCTGATAAAATGTCCATGAAGTGTTCACGTTATGGAGAAAGTCGGTGCTAAACAGGATCACATCATCCCCCCTTCTTTAATACGATTTGTCCTCAAATCGATGCTTGGTACATATGGGAACAACTTTGATCTTCGTTTGAATGGAGGTTCCTTCATTTTCATCTTGCATCGTTTGCTTTGCTCAGAATGCTTCACATGTTCAAGTCTTTCCTTCTGATTCAACAACCTGAAAAATGAAACAAGGTTAGAAGTAGATGATTTAGAATCAAAGGAAAGAAAATGATCAGATTCATGAATGAATGAGTTTGGACTCTTAATGTTCTCCATAGATAGGTTCATCAAATCTTCCCTTTCATAAGGTTCATTCGATCTTGAATATGAGGTGAATGTACTTGGAAGGTTAATGGACATGTCTTCTATAATTTCAAGTGACACATCTTTTTGAATTTCAAAAGGAATGATGCTTGAATCATCTTGAATGAACCTCGGAATAACCTACAAATTCAAAGAATGAATAGAAGGAAAAAATTTATTAGTATCAAGCAAAACATCCTCCTCACATTCTTTCCTTTTACGCTCATGTTTTTCAACACACTTAAATTCAATCTCAATGCTATTATTCTCATTTTCAACTCCAACATTTCTCACATCATTTTTCTCATTTTCAATGCTCTCATTGTCTTTTTCAACTCTAGCTCCTTCTTTTTTGCAAACAATTCCTTTTTCTAGTTGTCTTTGCAATTGTGTTTCTTTGACGAGATTGTCAACACACTCTTGAAAACGAGCTAGATTTTCTGGATTGAAACATGCAAAATTCCTTGGCTCTCTTAGCGTTGAGCTTTTGGCATTGTTTCAAAAATTGGGATCCTCTTTATAAGATCTTCTACTGCAATTAGGTGTAGAACTAGAAAAGGATTGAATGTCGTCTCTCCTTTTTAGTTGTGTATTGATCTTCGTTGGACGCGTTTGTGAACAAGAACGTCGTTCTATAATTTGGACCAATTTTCTTGAGATTGGCTCAAGATGCTTTTGAAACAAACTCCTTATCTCTTGTGTCATGGCTTGTATTTCCAAGTTTGGTGCTTGACGATCGTTACCTCCTGAAATATGAGAATTGCCTGTTGAAGTACAAGACATTATTAGTAATAAAAAAATGAAAAATAGATCTCACGAATTCACTCCAAAGAAAATTTAAAATGTCGTTCAACACTCGTGTTTACACTCGGGAGAAACTTTTAATGGCTCTTTCTGTCTCCCCTTCTAATCTCATACGCTCAATGTGCCTTTTCCACTCGTAGTCAGTTCTTTTACGAACTAAATTCGATCTTTCAAAATCTGTCAAGTGTGTCGGCTAAAGGAAACAACAAAGGTTAATGGAAATTGGAAAATATTGAAAGGAAGGCTAAAAATTCAAAGGACAAAGAAAGAAAGAAAGATGAAAGTAATTAGTAAACTTACTACAAAGAAATGCTTACAACGAGACTGTCACCAATACAATCAAAGACGCTGCGTTTTGGGTTGAATCAAAGCTGAAAGCAATTCAATATTGAAGAACACAAGATCATAGCATTTCTCTTCATCTCAAGACCAGAACTTTTCTTTTCTTTTCTTTTATAATTTTAATTTTCGGAATTTTGTTTTGTTTTTTTTTAATTTTCGAAATTCTTTTTTTTCAAGATGAATTTCTTACTTGGTTCACCTTTTTGCTCTGATTACCATATGATATGAGTCAGCCCGTCGATTGAGGACCTCTTCGATTGTACCGGATCTAGAACGAAGTAAACAATTCCTCTGTAACAAACTTACTTGGAAGTAAGGGTGATGGTGGGGTTGTATGTTAAGGTGATGAACGAAATGTATAAGAAAAGGATGAAGAAAGGATAGAGAAATAAAGAATTAAGATGCTGGAATTTTTAGAAAGGCAAAAATGAAAGATAAATACTTGGTGAAAATAATAATGGTGAAATGAAAATCTGGAAATTTAGATAACAACAAGTAACAAGGAAGAAATTATACTAAAGAGTATAAACCCGAACCTTATACGTTCAATGTTCAAGGACTTGGACCCGTTAGATAGTAATCTAAGAACCCGAAGTATCAGAAACTTAACACAACAAGATCAGACTTGATATGTCAAGAAAATAGTTCTAAGAAGAACCAATTTGAGAGAAAACCTCACAATGTTTTAATTCATAAAATTCTGATTACAAAATGAAATTACAAAGCTTATTTAAATGTTTGGAAAAAGGTTTAGCCGAATAGAAAACATAGTAGTTGGCCAGCCTTTGTTCCATGATTCATCACATAATTAACATGAAATAATAAATGTTGTTTTGGTGGAATTGTAGGAACATGTCTTCATGGTTGATTTAGCACGTGTATTTCTTCAAATTGCTTCCAACTATAGTTTCACGTCTCTCCCATTATTTTCTGGCCATATGGCTTCACATGGGTGTCCTTAGAAAATCTGGTAGTGATTGCTTGTGTACAGAATGTGTGCTGGCCATGTGCAGCAGTTTAAGTGTTCTAGAGAATCTGTAAAAGCTGTCTTGTGTTCTCCACTTGCTGTTTTATGTCTCCCAACGTGTTTCATACTGTAAAGAAGTGGATATGTCTTTATAATGTTTCAACAGGTTGTTATTAACGTTTTTCATGCTCTACTGAATGGTATATGTCCTTATAATGCTCCAACAGGCTGTTTGCAATGCGTGCCATGCTGTTTGTACCAGATTTCTTTGTGATATTTCTTTAATGTGATGTATATGTTTTAAGGAGTGGATGTTCCCTTAGTGTTCCACCCAAAGCTGTCCCCCATGTGTGTCATCCTCCAATATGCGTACATGTGCAAGGAAAAGAAAAAAAAAACAAGGTAAATCAATGAAATGTGCTGGTGAACTATGAATGCATCATATTATAATGAGCTGCCGTGCATGTGTGCATCAACTAAAATGAATGCCATGTGTGAATTAAAAATAAATGATAACATGCTGTTATGTTGAATATAAATGCAAAAACATGCTTATCAATATGAATGCACATGAATGGTAATTATAATTAAATGAAAAACATGTTGTCATGTTGAATAAGAGTGCAAGACGTGTTTAACAATGGGAATACACATGAGTTAATTAAAATAAAGGATAAATATGTTGTTTTGTTTAATATGAGTGCAAGACGTGCTACATGATGATATGTATTAAAATATGCTTAGATGAATGCAAAACATAAACAAAACGTGAACATCTTAAATTCTAAGATAAATGTAATGAGTAACATGAATGTATACTATGATGAATGTGATGCAAAGCAATCTTAATATGTTGAACATATTTAAACAACAATATGTATGATGGAATGATAAGTATGCTATCATTATATGAATACATGCTGATTAGTAATGCAAGACTATTCTAATATGCAAGAATGAATACATGCTTAATATGTATGCAAACTAGTATGAGATAATAACATGCTTGAAATGAGTTGATGAACTAATTAAAAACAACATGTTGTAATGATATGCATAGCTATTTTAACATGACATCTAATGCATAAATAAGTAAATATAATATAAATTAAGGAAGAACTCCCTTAGATTGATCCTGATAGAACGTCCATGAAGTGTTCACGTTATGGAGAAAGTCGATGCAAAACAGGATCACATCATTGGGTCTTTGCTCTCTATAGCACTGATTCTTCCTTGGTTATTTCTAAGATACTATCTTATTCAACATTCCATTGTTTCATCACCCATACCATAACCATAACAATAATCTTCCACTACCATCTCTAATATCATAAATTAGTCTACCATATCACCTTTACATCTACCACCTAAACTATCTATTTGAGCCATTCACTTATGCAGGTTGTTTTGCTTCCTTCCTAGATCTACAATCAATCGATAAGGGTAGGCCCTATCATATCATGTGGTAATCAGAGCAAAGGTTTGAACCATGTAAGAAATTCATCTTGAAAGTAATATATATATATATATATATATATATATATTCTGAAAATTAAAAAAAGAAAAGAGAAGAAAAGTTCTGATTTTGAGAAATGAAAAGATGAAGAAAAATGTAACGATCTTGTGTTCTTCAACATTGAAATGCTTTGGTTCAACCCAAAATACAGCATCTTTGATTGTATTGGTGCTAGTGATGCGATCATGCCAAGGACCAAACTTCTTCAACACATGATGATGTAAGGTGATCTACACGCTTTGGGAGAAGAGAGTAGATAGCCTTATTTTTTCCCGATCTAGGATTGACAAGTACTGACGTCCTTGAATTTATAAGCTTGGGCTGCACAAAATAAGAAAGGAAATATGATTAAAGATGGACTTAATAAAGGGAATAATAATATAAGTAATGAAATGAAAGAATAAGAATGAAATGAAATAAAGAAAGGATAGAGATGGTTGTGTAATTGATGGAATTGATGGAATTGATGGAAGAGATGGATGATGTTGTTGATGAAATGGCAATGGTGGTGATGGTGTTGTATCTCAAGCACGCCAAAGATGAAACAATGCTAAGGAGCACAATCCCGATCTTCACAAACTTGCTTGAGGGGTGGTGATTGTGTCTTCAACCCACTAGATATTAATCTAGGAATTTAGGAATCAAGATGGAAGGAATGACGCCACAAGTATAGGAACTATACTCGTTTAATCGATATAGTTCACATAGAACTTTGAAGAGAAATTAACTCAAAAGAGTAATTTTAATATATGAGATGAGATAAGTACAAATGATGGCAAGCCACTCTATTTATAGGAAATGAGAGTGCTTGGCCGAATGGTTACATAATGTTTCGGCTAGATACATGACTTTAGGAAGATACATAATGCTTCAAATGAATGATTAAGTCCTTTGGACTTGTGATGGTTCGGCTAACCCTTCATGAAGGGGCTTAATAATTCGACAATGATGAGGAAACATCTCCCTTGGCCGAATGGTGTTGCGTCTTCTCATGTTGGTGCCAAAAGCTCTCGTGCATGGCATGTGTGTGGCCGAATAGGCATGGAGCTTTATATCATGTTCTTTGGTGATTTAAACCTCCAATGATTACAATGTCTTCATAAACATGCTCTTAGATGTAAAGGCATCTTCATGGGAAGCATCATTCATGAAAGGTCACAATATTTGAGAAAGTTGTCCCTTCATGTTTAAGCTACTAATGGTGTGAATGAGCTAAAGGTGAGCTAGCCATAGGTGACTTGTAGCATGGTGAACATTATGACAGCTCCTTGTGAAAATGTACCTCTTGAGTTGGTAACTATTCGCGAAAAGGTACGATTTCACAAATTTTGACTTAGGACATATTTGAAGTGTCCTAAGTGGTGATGATTATGGTGCAACTCCCCAACTGAAATGAGGTCATCTTGTAGCTCAAATCTTCAGCTCAATCCAGCTATGAGCTCACGGCCTCAAAACAACTTTTCACCAATTTTTTCCTTATGTTCTCCTAATCGTTTCCATGTAAGTAACCTTGCTTTTGCATGCTCCATTTAGCTCCAATGTAGCTCCCAAGTGTTGGTCGAATGTGCCTACATGCATAACATAAAGAAATAAACTAAGTAAATGAACTTATATAATGTATAATATAAGAATGTGAACTATAGTATATTATGATAACTTATATCTCACATATTAATGGATAAGTTATCATCATAATAACTATAGATATAGTATATGTAGATGAAAATAACTATATTAAAATATTTGAAATAAGCATATATATGTGTAAAGTTAGAAAGTCTCTCCCCTTGTAAGGGTGGAATATCCATGATGCTGAATTGGATCACATCACATGATCACTTCATGGACATTCTGCCTTGTTGATTCTAAGGGAGTCTTACCTTATTTTATTATTTATTTACTCATTTATGCATTACATGTCATGTGAATATGTTTATCTTATTCTTAATTTTTTCTTGAATATTATATGCTGTCATTTATATGTATAATATATGATATTCATGCATGACTTATTAATTCACATCTTTATATAACTCATTCGATGCATATTCATTCATAGTTAGCTCATTTGCAATATTAACACAGGTGGAAGCATGCATTCATAATTATCATAGCTTAATTCCTATCTATTTATTTGTTTACATATTGGATGCTAAGAAGACTAAAGGCAATTGAAGAGTTGGTTGGATAGTTCACGTCAGACATATTGATCTACATTTCTAAACATATTCCAAGCATCTTTGGGTGATAAAGTCTGCTTAACATTTAATCCCCTATCTCGTATCTTTCCAACGCATTTTGAATCACATCAATCCGATTTCGGGAACTTGAGATATGCCCAGATTACTGAAGACAGTGCAGGTTGGAAATTAATACGGGATTTGCAACAATTCATCTCCTTCAAAGGACTTATGCATGGGAGGAATTAATGAAGACATGCATGGATGAGAAAAGAATATTAAAATGAATCAGACCATTTGTGAGGAGGTGCAATGATTCATTCAAAGGCTTTTAAATTCATCCATTCATGCATATTCATGCAAGAAGCCAAATAGTCATGTTCACACAAGGGGGAAGAATTTCAGCCAAGATACATTCATGAACATTCATCCATAAAAGACAAATCAACAAGTTCACACAAGGTGGGATGAATTCGGCCAAAGGATGTATTCCATTAAAAGATGAACATCCATTCATCAAAATTCATTCACCTAAGCCATGCTTTGTATCTACTTAAAGTATGAACACTCATCCATGAAGGTTCACTCATTAAATGTTTTGTATTCACACCTTGAACTCTTAGGCCTATAAATAGCTTTCCATTCATTTGTAAAAAGAAGCCAATTCACTTTGTTTAATCAAATATTTATGAGAGTTTCTCTCTTTAGTTCTTAAGTGAACTTTATCGACTTATCAAGCTTATGCTTGTGGCGTCACCCCTATCTATGTCACCC